ACTGAAAACTAAGGGAGTACCCATTGATTGAGGAATGGCCGGACAAAGCATGACATAGTCATGTTGTGGAATACTGTAGTATGGTGAGAAACAGAGAGATCGTTTCCAAGAACCTTGGGAAGACTTGTATGAACTGATGCAGAATGAAGTGATCAAAAAGAAGAGAGTAATTTATATTTGAACACTAAGATTGTAAAAATGAATGATCTTGAAAGACTTCAGAAATCAGATCAATGCAATCACTGACCATGATTCAGAGGACAACTGATGAGATGTGTCTCTCCTGACAGAGTAGTGAAGGTTCACCATTCAGAATGCAACATACATTTCTGGACATGGCCAATATAGGAATTTGCTTTGCTTGACTCCGTTTAATTGTTATAAGGGTTTTGTTTAATTTTTTCTTTTTTTCAAGGGAAGAAGGAAGTGGGCAGGAAAAAATAATTGCTTAGTAGTTTAAAAAATTTTGATTTTGAAAACAGGGAGTTGGGAGGAAAAAATAATGGCTTAATAGTTTAAAAAATAAAATGTAATTTTGAAAGCAGGGAGTCGGGAGGAAAAAATAATTGTTTACTAGTTTAAAAATAAAATGTAATTTTGAAAACAGGGAGTTGGGAGGAAAAAATAATTGTTTACTAGTTTATGTAATTTTGAAAACAGGGAGTTGGGAGGAAAAATAATCGCTTAATAATTTAAAAAATAAAATTTCATTTTGAAAACAGTAGTGTCATGACAGACAGGTTGGGGAAAGAATAGACCAGAGGGAGGAAGAACACTGAGAAGATTATTACAAACGTTCAAATGAGGATAATAATACTGAGGATAATAAAGATAAAATTGTGTGTTTATAATGAGAGAAGAAACAAGACCCTGGATATGAGAAATATTGCCAAGGTAGAATCAATAAGAGATATGACAGGCCAATTGATTAGATAAAGTAAAGGGAATAATCTAGGAGGTCTAAGAGAGGGAAGGGTCAAAGATGACTCCAAGGTTATGAGTCTGGGAGAGTAAAAGAGTGGCAGTGTCAGAAAAATAAATTTTAAAAAACAGAAAATTTAGGGAAGGTGGTATGTTTGGAGGGAAAGCTGATGAATTTAGTTCGGGACATTTGAGTGGGGTTTACTGGTACAATATCTTGGTGGAAATATCTAGCAGGTAGTTAAAAATCCAGTCCTAGGAGTCTAGGCAAAGGGTGGAGATGGAAATATGATTCAGGAGTTAACTGATAAAGTGTGATAACAGAAACCATGAGAGTAGATGAGATCACCAGGGAGGGAATGGAAAGAAAAAGAGGGTCAAGGTCACCCATGCTTAAGGGAGTTGGAAACTGATGAGGCAACAGCAAAAAAAAAAAAAAAAAGCCCACAGCCTAGGAGAATGCTGAGAGTGCAGAAAACCACAGGAGGCTAGAGTGAGTCAAGAGTGTCAAACATGGACTTCTCCAGGTCCAGGAGGATGAGGCCTGAAAAAAATAGCATGAGATGCTTCGGTTATTTGTTCGGGATGGGAATCAGACTGTAGGGAACTGAGAAATGCATGGGTAGTGAGGAAACACAAGGCAGATGAAGAGAAAGAAACAGATGAAAGGGTGAAGGGGCCAAGGGAATATATTTTTGGCATGGGGACATATAAACATATTTTTAGGCAGAGGGAAAAGAGTCAGTAAGGAGGGAAAGATATCAGAGAAAGGATGGAACCTTTATGAAGTAAGGTCATGGAGGAGACGGAAAGAGAGAGGCTTGAGGGTCCAAGGTAGTCAAACCTAGTAAGGTCCACGCCTCCCTCTGAATCTGGAGGGAAGGAAAGGAAGACAGGTGAGGACATCAAAGGTTTAGGGGAGTAAAAGAGGGGAGTCGATGAAGTCCCCAACAATCGGCCACAATCTTCTCAATAGAGAGACAGATGAAGTCCCTCTGAGAGTCTGGGAAGAAAATGGGAAGATGGAGACTTGGGGAGAAAAAGAAGAACCATGGTGGGGAAAGTCAGTCAATAAGAGACTCATAAAATGACTGCTACACCACAGTGAAGATGCAGGAGAGGTCAGAAAGCAGAAACTTTTCCTGAATTCAGCCAGTATGATTTTGTGATAAGGGAAGGTAGCAGGAGAAACCCTGGGTTACAGGTTAGCAGGGCAGAGAGGATAGTGATAAAAAAAAAAAAAAAGAAATCCAAAAGCCCAGAGAGTTCATTATCAAAATTAGGGGACCCTGTAACTTACAGTCAGGTTGGTCTATCCCCTTTCTTTTCTCCTTCCATCCTCTACTCAATATTTCAAGCGTGGTGTCATTTTTTACTTAGTTTTTAAAATTTAATTAAATTTAAGGATTTCTTCTTTTCCTTTCTTCTTTCCCTCTCTTTTCTTTGAGAAGACAGGGGACTTGGACTCTCATCTTGATTCTAGAAGATTCCATTCATCTCAGATGAGGCCCTCTGTATGCCTAAGTTTCCTTATCAGTAAAATGAAGCCATTGCACTAGATCAAATCTCTGAGGTCCTTTCCAGTTCTAAGAAGAGCAAACATTTAGTAAGTGCTTACTATGAACCAGGCATTGCCCTAAGTGCTAAAGATATGGATACAAGGAAACACGACAGTCTCTGACCTCAAGGAACTTATAGTCTCCTGGAGAAGATGATACATAAATACACAAAGAGACTCTAGACAGCAAGGGGAAGGGAAACCAAAGGATGATGGTTTAGAAGAAAAGCCGCCAGTGAAAAGGTATAGATATCCAGAGCAAAAATCAAGCTAGGAGTGAAGCAAGCATGGTTGTTCCCGCAAGAAATGGTGTTCCAAGCCAAGGACCCACCAAACAGCAGAGGGGGCTTCAGGGCGAGGTACCACCAAGGTGGGAAGGGTCAAGTAACATGGTCCTCCTTTCTGTTCCTCCCACAAGACCTTCTGTCTCCTGACTCCATGAATTTTCACTGGCTAACCCCCATGTCTGGAATTTGCTTCTTCCTCATCTCAGTCAGTCAATGAATACTTATTAAGCACCTACTATATACCAAGCAAGTAGGTCGCACAATGGATACAGTGCTTGGCCCGGAGTCAGGACTCATCTCTGTGAGTTCAAATCCAGCCTCAGACACTTACTAGCTGTGGGACCCTGGGCAAGTCACTTAACCCTGTCTACCTCAGTTTCTGCATCTGTAAAACGAGCTGGAGAAGGAAATGAGACCTCTCCAGTATCTCTGCCAAGAAAACCCAAAATGGGGTCATGAAGAGGTGGACACAACGAGAAAACAACTGAATGGCAGACAACAAAATGTACCAGGCATTGTGCTAAGCACTAGAGGATGCAAAGAAAGGTAAAAAGACAGTCCTTGTCTTCGAGGAGCTTAGTTTAATGGGGGAGACAACATGCAAACATGTACAAACAAGCTATGTGGGAGATAAAGAGGAAATACTCAAGGGAGAGAAGTAACGAAATTTAAGAGGGATCATCTGTCTTCTGGCTTCCCTGGTCTCCTTCAAGTCTCAATCCAAATCCCACCTTCTACCTGAAGCCTTTCTTGATTCCTTTCAATGCAAATACCTTTCCACTGTTGCAGATCTCCCACTTATCCTATGTACACATGCAATAGGATAATAATAAAAATCACTAACATTCATATAGTACTTGCTTTGTAAGCATTTGACAATTATCATCTCATCTGATTCTCACAACACTGGGAGATAGGTGCTATTATTATCCCCATTTTACAGATGAGGAACCCAAGGCAAATGGGTTACACAGCTGGTAAGTGTCAGAGGCCACAACTGGACTCATCTTCCTGACTCCAGGTCCAGTGCTCTATGCACTATACCCAGCTGTCCAGATATATCTTATTTGTATATACTTGTTTGCATCATATGATCATGAGTTCCTAGAGAGCAGGGGCTGCTTTCTGACTTTGCATTGTACCCCCAGTGCTTAGCACAGTGTCTGGCAGACAGTAAGCACTTAAATGTTGGGTGATTTAATCTGGATATTTATAATAGTCAAAATGGCTTAGTCACTCAAAGTCATTCATTAAAAACAATGTTGCTGTTACTGTATACAATGTTCTCTTGGTTCTGCTCATTTCATTCTTCATTATTTCCTGTAAGCCTTCCATGTTTTTCTAAGATCGTGGAGCTCATCATTTCTTATACCTGACCTATAAGCTTGTTTCTGCAGCTGGTTGCTACTCCCCCACCTCTTACTTCCTCCCTCATTATACACATAGAAGAAAGTCAAAGAAAGCTAAAAGTCAATAGAAGGGGAAGAAGAGAATGATCATGTCAAAATAAACCAGTCTTTCAGAGGGACATTGTGGATCTTCATTATATAATGTCACCATGGTGTTTTGGACTCCTAAGAGATGGGCACTGGGTCAATTTAGGATATCCTGAGTGCTGTTACCATGAAGCTTGGGGAGCTGGTAATAGGTCATGTTTTATGTAGAAGGGACATAATTGGGAGGCTGAAACAGAGCTTTCTGCTGCCCCACAGCCTTTTGCTCTAAGACAAAAGTCTCCTTCCAGTGTGAGACCTTCCATGCATGCAAAGCAGTCTTTTTGTAAAGTCTTGGTTCAGGTCTCCTTGCGCTCCTTGGTTACGAGCCATGGGAAAGAACATCCTGCAATAGGGTCACTGGTCCTTCCTGACCACAGAGAGGGCTCTGCTACCGCCATCCTCCCCAGGATTCTATTCAAAACAGAATTCTGAATTGTGGTTGCAAAGGAGAGACAGTCCCACTGCACTGACATTCAACATCAGACCTACTGCCATGTAAAAAGATCTTAGGGTCATCATTCACAGGATGAGCGAGTCACAGGAAAGCAGATCTCTGGAAAACATTGTCGGAGTCAATATTTACTCCAGTTGAAAAAACAGAAAAACTAAGAGGTGAAAGAAAGTCCTCTCGAACTAGACTCTGCTTTATTTATGGTGATATCAGGAGTACTTTGAGGTGAGTGACATGTCCAAACACAGCAATGGTGGTATCCAATATCAAGACCATTTGTCACTCACCGTAACAGCAGAAGAAGGCGTGGCTAACCCCGTGGGGGTGAAAGTCATGTCATCAAAAGCTGACATGTTAGCTGCAAGATAAGAGAGAGATTTGAAATCATAAACACCAGAAAAACAAATGAAAATTATAATTTAATGTATAAAAAAATAAAAAGGCAGATTATTTTCTTTTGGTTTTTGTAATTAGGTTTCTTTAATTGCAACAAAATAAAGGGGCAGTTTACAATCCAATTAAGTTTCATTGAATTTATTTTCTCAGGCAGATTAGTTTTTGAACATCTTTTGCTGCTATGTCCTTCTATGATAATTCTTTTTAGAAAAAAAAAGAATGGTAGCAATTTAAGTAAGAAGGTGAAGTCAATATTTCATGGTATTGGGGGTTCAGATAAAATACAAATTCTCTCTTTTCCTCTTCTTTTTCTCTCTTCTCTTCTGTCTCTGTCTACCTCTTTGTCTTTGTCTCTGTCTATTTACACACACACACACACACACACACACACACACACACACACACACACACACCCTCACACTCACATACTCCTAGAACGTGGAAGATAATAACCGAGGACCCTCAGTATCATGATGAAATCCAAGAATTGCCCAGACCCTCAGAGGTCACCTAGTCTCATCTATATCTAAACAACAATCCTCTCTGCAACATAACTCACAAGTGGTTATCCAACCTTTGTCCCCAGTGTCTAATGAGGGGTAACCAGTCGCTTCCAGAGGCAGTCCTGAAGAGCTCTGATTGTTAAGAAGCTTTTTCCTGCCTCCAGGCCCAACCACAACACCCAGGGCTTATAACTGTACCTTCTGGGACCATGAGAACCAGTGTTTTCTCCTCACCTCCTTCCTCTCCCCACCTCTCTACATACACACAGTCCTTCAAATGCTCTTAACTACAGTAAGTAGGCCCCTCCTGGGTCTTTTCTTCTCCACTTCCTTCAGCAGATTCTCATATGCTCTGATCCAAAGGCCTTCCTGGTTGTCCTTCTCTGGACACACTCCACTTTCAACAACATTCTTCCTACAATATGGCAACTAGAAATGAATACAACAGACATGTGATCTGACCAGGGCAGAGAATAGCAGAATTATCACTTCCCAAGTCCTGACATTCTGCCTCTCAATGTAACCTAAGATCACATCAGCATTTCTGGCTGCTGTATCATACTTTTGCTTTAGGAATACACTTCTTCTCCTTCCATGGATCTCAGTTTCCTCATCTGTAAAATGGGGTTAAACTACTTTGTACTACTTACCTCATAGGAGCACAGATACAGATCGAGAAGATTATCTAGTCCAACCCGCTCATTCTAACAGATGAGGAAACTGAGGCCCCGAGAGGTTAAGTGACTTTCCCATTATCACACAGAAAGTGGCAAAGCTGGGATTTGAACTTGGATCCTCTGATTTGCATCACACACACCACTATTGCATGAGGAAGGAGATGTACAAACGCTGAAGTGTTGGGTAATTGGGACTTGGGATCATAAATCCGCATATTTTCCTGATGGTCCCACAATTCAGTTGCCATTTAGGTTATATTGTCCTGTCCATCACAATTATTCACTTTCTAATTTGGGGGACCCAAACTTTTCCAACTTTCCCCTTCATCCGGCTGATGAAACCACAAAACTAATAGCAAAAACTAGTATTTATGGAGCTAAGTTTGCAAAGGATTTCATGTACATAACCTCATTTAATCACTCTGAAGTCAGAGACCTTGGGTTCAAATTCCACCTCAGACATTTACTAACAGTTCGACCTTGGGGAAATCACTTACATCTCTCTGGGCCTCAGTTTCCTCATCTGTAAAATGAGGGGCTGTAGCCCTTGAAGGTTCCTTCCATCTCTAAACCTCTGATCCTTCAAAAGAACTCTGGAATGAATGAGAACATGGAGAATTCCAGAAACCTTCATTCTGTCCTCTCCTTTACCTGACACAGTTCTTTTAAACCAGAGAACCAACAGAATCTATTTGCTTCGGGAGGGGGGAGATTTTGGATACTGCTCTCCTTGGGAATACTTTGTTACTAGTGCTTAATTCCAAGGAATTTTCATAGGACTTTTACATCAGTCACCCTTTTTTAATTCCTGCCCTTTCCATGGGTCATTTCAGTTGGTCTTAAGGATATCTGTGGGAATGGAAGACATTAAAAATAGGGAAATGTATTTATGACCTCTTGGCCTTTGCCTTTCACCATTTCCTAAAGTGGATTTGATGTCTGTTTACATAGGGATACAAGAAAGCAGGAGAGCTGTATAAATGTGTCTCTAAGGGCTAGGAAAGAGGATGGTATATAGTATATAGATGGTATATGGTTCAGGGCTGGTATATAGAAGAGAATACAATCCTCGCTGAGGAAGTGTCAGTGACCGGGTCCTTCTATGGCTTTTCACAGCCTGGCATCAGTGATCATTGGAAGTCTGTCCAACAGCCCAAGAGGTGAATGTTTGGTCACTAGAGAGTAGGAGGCAGAGACAAGCAACAGCTGGTTGCTGAAGGCAGGATTCCCAGTTAGAAACGTAATTGTCACTCAGTTCTCAACCTAGCTCCTCTCTGCCTAAAGGAATGTAGCACTCTGTCCATGATTGAGTTAAATAAACGTCAAAGAGAAAATAATCCTGTGGCAATAAAATTAGAATTTCTCACCCCATTTTTTCCATTCAATAAATATTTATGAGATATGTAGTATTGGGGGCAAATGGAGAAAATAGGGGTTTGGAATTGATTTATCCATTCAATAACTGACGCAAAGGGATTGACAGTTGTGTTGCGTGTTGTTTAGAGAGGCAGTGTGACCCCATAAGTGAAGAGCTGGCCTCAAAATGAGGAAGATCTGGGTTCACATCCTGTCTCTCCGGGTGACCCTGGCAAAGCACGCAGCGAGCTGGGCAGGTGACCCCAGATACACTGAGGCAGTCCACACTCCCAAGTGCAGCAGAAAGCCCGTTAAAATGTAATTGGGAAATATTTAATAAAATGAACACAAATACAACAGACTACAGATAATGTTAATGTGTGGTTTTCTAAGTCAAGATGCCCCTGGCAGGGATCCTTACGCACCTTTTGGTATCTCCTGTTTCTGTTGGAGATTGACAAGTCTCAATTAGGCAACTCTGTAAGACTGAGGTGCAGAGAAGGAGCCCAGCTGAATGGGTCAAGGAAGCTTACTCACCTGGAAGTGTTCTATACTAATAAAATCACAGGTTTAGTCCCTAATCCCATACCAACAAAATAACCCAAGGAGTGGGGGAGGGGGCCACTTGTTCCACCAGTAAAATAGTATGAAATGCCCAAATGACATCAGAAAAGAATAAATAAAAATAGACAACTTTGTTGATATTAAGTCATTTCAGTCATGTCTGACTCTGTGACCCTGTTTGGGGGTTTTCTTGGCAGAGATATTGGAGTGGTTCACCATTTTCTTCTCCAACTCATTTTACAGATGAGGAAACTGAGGCAAAATGAGTTAAGTGACTTGCCCAGAGTCACATAGCTACTAAGTGTCGGATGTCAATTTTGAACTTGGGTCTTCTTGACTCCAGGCCCTGGGTTCTATCTGTTGTTACCCCTAGCTGCTCCAAACAGACAATACTAAATACTAATTCTTAAAACTAAATAACCACCCCAAATCTTCCTGGGATTTTTGCTTCAGACTGGACTGGGTGGATAGCACATATCTGATTATCTGTAATAATTACACATGGATAATATTTCCATCCTGCTACAAGCTTTAAAAAAAGTCTTTGGGGAAAAGGAGAGAACAGTAATAGGAGGAAATAACACAGAAGAAAAAGTTAACCATTACATCTCAATCTAAGACAGGGAAATTGTATTTTGCTATTTCTATTTGACTCTCCCTTTGGTTTACCTAAGTAACTACTACTACTGCTAATAATAATAATAATATAATAATAATAACAATAATAGCTAACATTTATATAGTGATTACTATGTGCCATGCAGTACTAAGTACTTTAAAATATTATTTCATTTGATCCCCACAACTCTGGGAAGCAGGTGTTATTATTATCCCAGTTTTACAGATGAGGACATTGAGGCAAATAGGGTTAAGTGACATACCCAGATCAAGCTAACAACTGTCTGAGGCTGAATTTGAACTCAGATCTTTCTGCCTCCAGGTCTAGCGGTCTATCCATTGTACCTCCCAACCGCCCCTGATTTTTAGTATTAATTTTACCATGACTGCTGATATGGAATACTACAAAGTCTGGCTAAACTTTGAATATTAGAGAATTGCCAAAGACACTGAAAGCCTCCATACTCCCTACACTGGTGTCCTTAAGCAGAGACCTATGCCCAAAACAAAACACATTTACTCCTCTTTTTGGAGAAAGCTGTTTCTTTTCTTATTTTCTAAAACAAAGCCTCTTTTCACTATCACTGAGTCCTGGGGATGTAGAATTATATTATTTCAGTAACCTAGCATTCTATGCATAAAGCTAGGTTGCAGAGATGTTACCCATCGATGAGGGACAAGGCTTTGTATAAACATCTCATACCAAGAAAGTGTTCAGTGATGTGGGAAAGGAGCTGCCTCTCCTAGGGTTTCACCAGTGATTGCAGGGCCCCCATTTCCATGCCTGTAAAATTATCTCCTAATCTGCAGGATGGCGACCTCCATCTGTGAAGTTACCATTTCACTATTACATACTTTCCTGGTGCTGAAAAACACACCATTAGCCAATTTAAATATTATGGACTCATTGATTGAATTCTTTAACTCAGAGGGTGTATTGTGATGAGAAACCAGACTTTTGTTGTTTTTTTTTTAGAATGTTCTGGATGTAATTTTGACTGTGTTATCCTTCCAAGGTAATGTTTCAGTGTCCTATCAAGAAATATTAAGGTTTTCGAGCCAGCTGTATAGGAGTAAGTTAGCTAAGGGAATCATTAACCTTTGGAGGTATTCATGAAAATGGTCAAAGTTCATTGCTGGGTTGTTTTCTGTTCCACAAATGACTTTGCTCCCCATAATACAAATGGACCAATCCTGCCAACCAAGATAGATAGGAGGAGAGAGGGGATCAAAAGTCCACAAGAGAGCCCTTTACCATCAGCTCCCTTCTCCACTTAAGCTCAAAGTCAGAACTGAAAACTGGTCTATGATGCACTGAGAGCTGTCTGTTACACAGCCACATCTTGGAAGAGAAAGATGGTGCAATGTCTTTAGTTCAATCTCTTAAGCTTGGTGGTTCCAACCTGGTGCAGCATTCTGGTGCACAGAACTGTATGTGGCCAAGGACCTTTCAAACCTTGATCAGACAAAGCTTGTGGCTTTCACAACAGAACAAGAAAGCCAAGTGTAGCTTAGATCAAAGAAGAAACTAAAACCAGATTGAGTTAGCACCTGTAATTCATGTATAAAATCCGTTCCTGTCTCAATATCATGTTCTCAGGTAAACAAGGATCAGATACTTCTCAGAAATAAAGGACAAATGTGAAGGTTTTGCTTTATTTTCACATTTACTCCAGATACTATAGATACTACTTAAGGTAGATGGTGTAGTAGATAAGAGCGTTGGTCTTTAAAACAGGAAGATCTGAGTTCAAATCGTCCCTCATCCATTTACTGGCTGTATAAGTTTGGGAAAGTCATTTAACCTTTATCAGCCTCAGTTTCTTCACTTGAAAAATGTGAGCACCCACCTTCCAGGGCTGTTGAGAGAATCAAATGAGATAGCCTACATATAGCACTTTGCAAACCCGAAAGTGCTTTTATTATGATCATTTTCATGTATTTCCCCCTTTCCGTCTCCATCCAAATAATAAAACAAATGAATACAAGTTTAGCTAAGGCCACCTAGGTATGTGACTGACACCAGCCTGACCTTTTTTTCTAGTGTGATGGATGAGAGATGGAAACTTCAAGGTGGCTTTGTATGCATGCTGAATTTTCATCCCTTTTGGTAAATCTCAGTGTGGATTTACTCACACCTACTGAGGAAGCCAACATGGATGTCCGCATTGGCAGACTCCTATTAAACTTTCAGCTAACCTTTGTGTTTTGGAACCATAGCTCTCCCTGGGGAGGGGTGAGGCAGACCCTCTCTCTGTTTCATTTTTCACATGAAAATGTTCATTTTTGTTTTGGCTTTTCTTGGGCAGAGGACAATTAACTGCAACATCTCCTAGAGCTAACCTGTATTGGGAGAAGGAAGGAAGGATCACCAAGAGCCAGAATGGTCCAGTCCAAGTCACTAACATCATTCCTTCCTTTGACAATGGTACTAAACAGGTAGGTCACAGGGATGTCACCAATCTAGCTTACCGAGATTTTAACAAAACTTTTTGATAAAGTATCTCATGCTATTCTTAGAGAAAAAATGGAAAGATGGGGACTAGACAGAAGGGGGATTTGGACTTGATTGAATGGCCAGACCCAAAGAGTCATCGTTAAGGACTCCATGTAGGGGCAGCTAGATGGCGCAGTGGATAGAGCACCAGCCCTGGTTTCAGGAGGACCTGAGTTCAAATCCGGCCTCAGACACATAACACTTACTAGCTGTGTGACCCTGGGCAAGTCACTTAACCCCATTGCCTAAAATAACAATAACAAAAAAAAAATGAGGGAAAAAAAAAAGGATTCCATGTAAACTTGGGTGATGTCTAGTCCCCCAGAGATCTGGATTTGGCCCTCTGCTTTTTAACATTTTTAGTAATGGATTCTGCAAAGGCATACATGGAATACATATCAAATCTGCAGATGACCCAAAGGAAGAGCTAACAACTTGGATTACACTCAGGATCTAAAAACATCTTGGATGGCTAAAAACTCTGGCTGAATCTAAGAAGATGAAACCAAACAGGAATAAAATACTTCCGGCTTAAAAATTAATTTTGCTTGTATGAGATAGGGGATGAGTGGTTAGAGAGCAGGTTATCTGAAAAAGATCTAGGAGTCTTAGTGGACTGTAAACTCAATATATTGGCGTCCTAGAAGTAGGGATAATGAATTGATAGTTCCACTCTATTCTATTCTGACTAGAACATATCTGGAGTATTGTTTAATTCTGGTTGCCATATTTTGGGAAAGACAATTGTAGAGCACCCAGAATTGGGTGACCAGCATGATGGAAGCCTTCAATTTCATTCCCCATGATGATTATTTGAAGAAAATGAGGGGAAAAGAATAGTAGTCTGACTCATTTTACAGATGAAGAAAGTGAGGTCTAGAGGATAAAGTGAATGGCCTAAGGTCACACAGTGAGTGTCAGAGCAGGATTTGAGCCCAATTCTCCTGACTCCCATACAAAATGCTCTTTCTCCTAGATTTTATGAGAATGTATTAGATTATATGTGAGTTATCGTAACGACTTGGAGATATGTTGGTCCCCTTTTTATTATATATACTCTGACTTCTCAGGGGCAATGTAATCTAATGGGAAGAGCAGCGGAGAATGCTTTTCCTCTGCTCATTGTCTTCTTTGTATCCCAGAGCTCAGGATAGTGTCTGGAACATAGTAGGTGCTTAATAGATGCTCACTGACTCGCCTGACATTCCCAGACTTCACATACAGTTCCCTAATTTAACAAAACATCTGGGTGAATGCCATTAGTGCCTGAGCTGGTGTTTGGAAATTTCTGGAGGGAGTAGGAGGAGCACGCCAGACTTTTCTGGGAATCAGCCTACTTTTACATCATGACCATGTGTCACTGGCCCCACCACCAGAGTCAGAGTAGGTACAAGCTGAGGGGCACATCCTCACCTGAGTCTGGAGGGATGCAGGCACAAGAGAACTGAGTGACATAGTCTACTTTGAAGTGGGAGTTGATCGGATAGTAATCGGCCAGCTTGATCATCTTCTTGAATGCGTCATAGATGAAAATGAAGCTGATGAGAGAGGAGAAGCCCTCCTCAGTGAAGCGGGTGAAATATTGGACTAAGAAGCTGGCGTCTGTGGCCACCAAGATGAGACAGAGGAAGGAGGACCACAGACCAATCCACAGACGGAACTCCAGGTAGTCAAAACCATTGTCTCTGGAAGAAAGCAAGAAAGAGATTTAGACTCTGCCCCCTACACACAAAGAAGAATTGGACCCTCAGAAGCTAATGAATTAATAAATAAATGTCAAAAATCAGCTACAGGTCCTAGGAAGGAAGCATACTCTGGGTTATAGGATTCTAGATTTAGAACTGGGAGAGCTCTAAAGAGACCAATGACACCAACCCCATCATTTTACAGATGAGGAAACTGAAGCCATGAGAAATAAAGTGACTCGCCCAAGGTCATATAGCTAATAAGTGTCTAAGGTTGGATCTGAACTCAGGTTTTCTTGACTCCAGGTTTAATGTCCTATCCACTGTCTATACTCCCAGAAATGCCAAAATTCAGTAATCTAGTCAGCCCAGCCTAGACAATTGAGCTTCCCAAAGGAAATAATTTCAGAAATTACAAGAGAAGCACAGAGAAAGGGACCAGATAATCTGTCCTTGGGGACACTTAGACCCTCCTTGGAAGGAGTGTCTTCCCCTGTTGGCATAAGTGGCATTCTATTGGAAGTTGACACTGATTTGAGATGATGGGAGTCAGGAACACCCCTTTCCTCTTTTCCCACCTACTTGGCACAGTCACCTGCATCCAAGGATATATATTCCAGTTCCAACAAAGAGTCAAAGCAAAGAGGTGGTAAGGAAAATGAGTCCAGTTAAACCACTGTGGTTATTTCAACATACCTGGATGTGACTTCACGATTATTCTTTTTCTTACACATTCCTTGTAAACTCTCTGTGGGGTATTTTAGAGAAATAAGAATGAGGGAGAGGAGTCTGGGCCTGTGATTTCATACATGTACAACATCTCTTTCACCAGCAGAGATCAATCCATCAACAAATATTTGTTAAATGATTAATGCGTGCCAGACACTGTGCTAAGCCTGGAAATACAGAGAACTAGCTGTGTGATCCTGGGTAAATCACTTAATTTCTGTTCGCCTCAGTTTCCTCATCTATAAAATGGAATAATAATATCACTTACCATGCAAGGTTGTTGTGAGAATCAAATAAATGAGATACTTATAAAGTGCTTAGTACAGTACCTGGTACAAAATGTTAGCATCATCAGCATCATCAGCATCATTGTCTTAGCAAGTTGCCTGGGGTGCTGAAAATTTAAATGGACTTAAACCCACTTATCACAGCTAGTATGTCTCATGAGCAAGAGCTGAATCCACATCTTTCTGATTCCAAAGCCAACCCTCAATTCACAATATTATGCAGCCTTTCTTGGTGAGATAGAGATAGATATCATTCCAATTTTCCATATTAAAAATAGATAAATTAAGATCCTTTCTCTAAGTCCTACAGCCTGAATTTCCACTCTTTCCTAATATTGGATTTTAATACCACTGTGGAGTTGGGTCAAGACCCAAACCACTATTCATTCCCCAGTGACACTGGGGTTGCTGATGGTAAGTCCCTGAAATCCCACAGAAGACCAATACAAGTAGCATAAGCATAAGCCCATAGATGGAAGGGGCCTATCATGTCCTTTATCTAGTCTAACATCCACATTTTATGGATGAGTAGAATTATGTCTGAAGTTAAGTGATTTGCCCAAGGTTCAGTGACTGAGGCTGGGTCAGAATGCAAGTTCCCTACTCCTGGTCCAGTTTTCCTGCCTCTAAAGCACACTTCCTGTCCTCTGAATCTGATTTAGCTCCTGATAGGGTATCATTGGAGCCCTTGCTTCACAAAATACCAGACAATAAGAAAATATGTTTATTATATAATGAATTTCCTCCAGGTTATTTAGAAACATCCAACCATCCATTCATCCATCCATCCATCCATCCATCCCTCCCTCCATCCATCCATATATCTATGCATTCATTCATTCAACAAACTTTCATTATTTGTTTTATCAGACCTGGGATGTCATTAGAATAGGGGAACTGATTGTGCTTAATCTCTATCTTCCAGTCTTAAAGATGTGACCCAGGTCACAAAGTCAGTAAGTGTCAAAGGTGGGACCTTAAGTAAGCTCTTCCCAGAATCCAAGTCAGCTTTCAATCCACTGGGCCACACTAGTTTCTTATTACTAAACTAATAATTTGTCAATATTAAAATTAGTAAATGTTTCTTCAATGAGATAAATACTAGACGAAGCAAGCTGGAATCTACAATGAGTCATCAGAACAATTAGGAATCAGGGGTTTTTATTTCTGGGTTTGCTCCTTATCCACTTGACCAAGAGATCACCAGTGAAAAGAAGCATTTAAAAGTATTTCTTTTTAATTACACTTATCTTTGCTTCCCTAACAAGGCCTGTGTTCAACAATCTCATCTCCCCCCGCCCCCGCCCCCACCACCCAATGCACGTGTTTATAAGAATTGCAGCAAGAATAAGATCCTTTTATTTTCCTGAGGTTGAACCATCATCACTTGGGAAAGGGGGAGATGGGAAGATTCCAATTATGAGATCTTACAAAGAAAAAAGATACCTAGACTAACTGGAAAAATAAATACTTGGGTCTGAGTGACCCTAAAACTGTCTTATCTAGTCTCAGTCACTGAAACTAGTGGATAACATCTACAGAAATGATGTGCTTAAAGTAGGAAGAAAAAGGAGTAATAAGGTATGGGTCACTTCTTCAAAATTTAGAACAAGATGATCGGCCAAAACAAGGATTAACCCTCCTACCACGGTATGGTTTATGAGAAATAGTTCACTGTTCTGTAATTTTGGTTGTGTCCAACTCTTCATGTCCCCATCTGGGCTTTTCTTGGCAAAGATACTGGAGTGGTTTGCCATTTCCTTCTCCAGCTCATTTTACAGATGAGGAAACTCAGGCAAACAGGGTTCAGTGACTCACTCAGACTCACAGATAGTAAGTCTGAGGCCGGATTTGATCTCAGGTCTTTCTGACTCCAGGCCCAGCACTCTATCCACTGTGCCACCAGCTGCCTCATGTACATCCTACCACTAATTACCTGTATGGGTTAACAGAAAGCCCATTGGGTTTGGAACTTCTTGCTCCTTTCCTTTCTCTTTTCGCTGTCTCTGTACTGTCTGAGCCAGCCACACTCTGACCACATCCCCCCCATTCTTGAGATGTCAAAAGTCCCATGTGCCTCCTAAGCCAGTGGCAAGTTTCTGATCAAGATCGTGGCTTTCAAGCCAAGAAGGACCTTGGAGGTCAGCTCCATTTATAGATAAGGGAATTAAGACCTAGAGAGACTTGCTCAAGATGGCAAATTGTGGGGCCAGGACCCAATAACCAGACCTTCTGACTCCAAAGCCAGCATTGTTTGTGATACAATAATAATAATAAAAAACATGTATGTAGCCCTTTAAGGTTTGCAAAGTCCTTTATAAATGTAACTTTCTGTTATGCTCACAATAACCCTGGGAAGTGGGTGCTTTTCTTATCCCCATTTTTACAGATGAGGAAACTGAGGCAAATAGAGGTGAAATGACTTGTCCAGGGTCACACAGCTAGTAGGGGCTTGAGGCTGGATTTAAACTCAGGTTTTCCTGACTCTGGGTCCTAGCTGCTTATACCTGTTCCTACCTTTTCCTTTTAGCCCCAAGAGGCACGTGAAAGTCTAAGGAGAGGGCTGATAAATTATTTTTACCATTGTTATAATGTTTTAATAATATATGTCAAATAATAATAATAAAGCAATTTGATCAAAATAAAGGCAGGCTGATATATAATAGTGCCATATTGTTTAGTGCTGTTTTAAAGAAAAATCTTTGCAGTTTTTCCCTTTGACATTGTACTTCTAATCAGATATAATTTCCAGACAAATCATGGGGCACTTTGTTTACTTTGCTAATTACGGGCTGTTTGAAGGGAAAGGGAGACATGAATTTACTTAGTAAAAGGAAATAATTTCTATCTCAGAATTATCTAAAGGAAACCAGCAGAAACATTTTCTCCAGATTAAGCCTCTGATGGTTTTGCTGCCCATAAATCTTTGTGAAGAGGCAGCCTCTGTTCATTCCTGTGTAGGGTACAGACTGGCTTAATCTTCCCACAAAGGCCTTCTCCTCTCACACAGTGAGCTTTCCTAGATACAAAAAAAACTCCTTGACTCTGCTGTAAACTAGTATGAGTGGAATTCTTTCCAGTGTCCTGGGGATTAAGCTAAAGAAGGGTCATATAATAACAAGGAACTCCCAAAAAACTAAGTAAAAGGTGCAGCGTTAGGTTGAAATGTAGAACATGAAAGTTCTTTGCTTCACTCAAAACAGGCCTTATGGGGCTAGTCTTGAAATAACAACAACAATAATATAATTATATTCAGTGCTTATGCGGTGCTGAAATAAAGGAACTCATTGATTTTCACATGGCATGGTGGGAAAAGGATTACTGTCTTTGTAGACTGAAGGACTGAGTTCAAATTCAGCCTGCTACTTGCTACTTGGGGGACCTCAGTCTCCCTGGACACTGGTTTCTCCATCAGTAAAATCAGGGGGTTGGATTTGTTCACCTATGTGGTTTCTTTTCTCTCGAGATCTGAGACCCTATGAAACAGCTTTGCAAGACAGCATTACGGGTATTGTTATTTTCATTTGGTCCATAAGGAAATGGAGACTTATTGAGGTTAAGGGTCATACAGCTACCAAGCCTCTGCCCCATGCTCCTGCCCTTCCCTCCCCTCTCTTTGTGTGGCTTCCAGTGATGCCTATAGACTCTGGAACCCACAACCGAAGTTACCCAGTCAAGCACTGGAGTAAGAATGAGGAACCCCACTTTACATCAGTTTCCTTTTTTTTAACCAGCCTGGTTATTTTCTAATATTTCCTGCTGTCAATGTCGGGCCTTTTATTCTTAGAATGTATACATTAGAGTGCCCTGTTTCAATTGTCTCCTCCTAAACCTAAAAAATCCACATTTTTAAATTCAACTCTCTTTGAAATGAACAGGAACTTTTCAACATGAAATACAGACTATGGGAAAACCCCCCAATATGGTTGCTTCTGTGGCTGAAAAATTTGCTTTCCATCTGTGGGGACTATAAATGGAAGGCCTTTCTCTTAACCCTCCCTGGTGGTTGTACAGTCATATCCAATTCTCTGTGACACCATTTTGGGGGTTTCTTGGCAAGGATACTGGAGTAGTTTGCCTTCTCCAGCTCATTTTATGGATGAGAAACTGAGGCAGACGGGGATTAAGTGACTTACCTAGGGTCTACTCCCATAGCAATAATAAATAAATACCAACAATGCAGTACTCAATTTCTATTACCTCCTCAGTGAAGTGGCTAGAACCTATTTCAAGGTTTTACAGGACAAATTAAGGAAAAATTCCTAAAGGGAATTGATAAATTCCTCCATAAATCACAGTCACTTATTTAATGAGAGGAAGAAGCTAGAGACTTCTTCAAGGTGATAAAGCTAAGAAGCAGAAGGCAGGGGCTTAAACCCAGACCTGCTTATTCTAAGGCTCTTTCCTTTATTCTTTACTGCCTGACACTATTTATATCCCTACTATAATCTGTGAAAAGATTTAACTCCGATAAAACTTGCTCATTCTATGGATAGTAAATGAGGGTCAAAAGAAGTCAGACGTTGCAAGAGGGGATTCTGCCCCTCCTCTATCCAAAGTAGACCTTAGCTTAAAAGGGCCAAGGTCTCCCACTGCATCTGGGGCCATCTCCAGTTGTCCTGATTCATATCTGGCCACTGGACCCAGATGGCTCTGGAGGTGAAAGTGAGGCTGGTGACTTCCCACAGCTCTCTCTCACTTAGATACAATTCACTTGCAAGTCACAGCATCACCTTCCTGATGCCATGGTCTTCTTCGAGAATGAAGGACAAAAGGGGCAGCTAGGTGGTGCAGTGGATAGAGCACCAGCCCTGAAGTCAGGAGGACCTGAGTTCAACTCTGGCCTCAGACCAAACCCTTGACATGTACTAGCTGTGTGACCTTGGGCAAGTCACTTAACCCCGATTGCCTCACTAAAACAACAACAAAAGAAAAACTTCCAAAGAGAATGAAGGACAAACAACAATTTTGGATTAAATGTTATCACTTGAGTTATGCCTGATAGCTAATGAATGATTAGTCTCATTTAGCATGTGTAGAATTGTTATGTCTTTGATTCCAGTGAATTTTTGAAGCTATTTTCATTTTTTCTTTCTCTTTCTTTCTTTCTTTCTTTCTTTCCTTCTTTCTTTCTTTCTTTCTTTCTTTCTTTCTTTCTTTGGACTGGATTTTCTCTAGTTTCTCCAGAATGGAACTACTCTTTCCTGGGATAATTAAACTGTTTCCATTATATATGAATGCGAATGAGAACAAATGGAGACTCTGGGTTATACATACTTGCTGAAATTAAACAAGAGCCTCTCAAAGACAAGGACAGGTCCCGTACTGCTCAGGATAGTGAGGGGCTGGCCAGCAAAAAGACAAAAGATGGCTCCAGAGACAGCCGTACCCAGGAAGCTCTCCAACACACCCTAGTGTAGACAAAACACAGGCATTAACAAATGCATTTTTTTTCTCCCTTATCACATCATCTGTTCAGGAACAACCACAGACAAATACATTGTAAGAAGAGCTTGCGCACCATAAATAACCAACCAAACAGAAACAAGGTCCCAATTAGTGCCAACAATGCATTCATCAAACGGTCGTATTATTTGAGCTTGTGCTACATATTTCCCTTGGGATGGAACTAGTGAGCATAGTTTATATAATTGTAACTTTGGGTGAGGCTAATTTGAATACAGGGATTCATTGTTTCTACCAATTGAGACCCGGCTGCATCTTACATTAGATATGAGTATTACTGGGGCCATTAAAATGTAATTGAAGCCTGTCATCAACAGAGACACAGAATGATAGACTTCAGAAATCATTTAGCCCAATCTTCTAATTTTACAGATGAGGAAACTGAGGTCTAGAAAGATTGAATAACATACCCAAGGTCTTAGCTACTCAGTAATAGAACAAGGGCTGAAACCCAAGCCTCATAACGGTGAAAACACGGATTAAAAAAAAATTAGCACTTTATTCTTCAGAAAATGCTATATTTTCCCTTCTGTTGATGCTGCTTTGGGAAATGCTTTCAGGGCTCCTTAGAAAAGTTCAGCCCTGACTCACTTAAATCCAATTTACTTGTGAGTCATGACATCACCTTCCCAATGTCATGGTCCTCTTTGGGAATGAAGGACAAACAGCCATCAACAGGGAACAGAATGCGGCTCTAGGAGTCATGAAAACATGTCTTTGAATCCTATTCCAGATAGTTACTAGCTGTGTGATCCTGAGCAAGTCACTTGACTCACGTCTGCCTCAGTTTCTCATCATGAAAATGGACATGATACGAGTACCTGCCTCCCACAGCTGTTTTGAGGATCAAATGAGATACTGGTAAACATGCCTCGTGAAGCACCTGCCAAGGCTGCAGAAATGCAAACTTTTTGTCGTTGTTGTTGTTCAGCTGTTTTGCAGTTGCATCCTTCTCTTCATGACCCCATTTGGGATTTTTTTTTAAGGCAATGGGGTTAAGTGACTTGCCCAGGATCACACAGCTAGAAAGTGCCAAGTGTTTGGTCTGAGGCTGGATTTGAACTCAGGTTCTCCTGACTTCCGAGCCAGTGCTCTATCCGGCTGCCCCCCCATTTGGGATTTTCTTAGCAAAAATACTGGAGTGGTTTGCCATTTCTTTCTCCAGCTCATTTGACAAATGAGGAAACTGAGGCAAACAGGATTAAGTGACTTGCCTGGGACACTCAGCTAGTAAGTGTCTGAGGCCAGATTTAAACTCAGGAAGATGAGTCTTTCTGGTTCCAAGCGCAGTGCTCTATCCACTGGGCCACCTGGCTGCAAATGCTAGCTACTGTTATTAAAATAAAAGTTTCTTGCTATCTTTTTGTTTTTACATAACCTACATTTCCTCAACACATTTTGACATGTTGAACTTCAAAGCACAGTGCAGAAATTTTAAAATATTCTCATGCAAGGAAGCACTGTTAGCTGACTGTAAAGAGAGGTTCAAACTATTTATAAACTGAAAAAATAAGAACCCGTTTTTCTGGCTCACTATATTGGGATGCACTGATACAGTGAGAGAGGACAGAGATCACTATGGAGCTAGCTATTTTAGGTAATCATAAATCAAAAAGACAATTGTACACCTTAGCAGAGCAAATCTTTCTAAAAGCTTTTAGATTTTGGATGGGCTGATATTATGCAGACCAATGGCCTGGGGTGGGTTGGAAAAGGAGGAACAGGGCCCTAGGTTATTTTGTAAGACTTTCATTTCAATCTACTTCTTCCAAAGAGATGAAACCAAAGCACTGGAACTACTTTTCCTTTCCTTTTTTTTTTTTATGGCTAGGCAATGGGGTTAAGTGACAGCTAGTAAGTATTATGCGTCTGAGGCCGGATTTGAACTCAGGTCCTCCTGAATCCAGGGCCGGTGCTCTATTCACTGTGCCACTCAGCTGCCCCTGGGACTACTTTTGCTACCATCCATCTTGCCTTTCCTATGCTCTCCTTCCTCTTATTTCATACAGAAGAAGGAAAGAGAGCTAATAGTCTGGAGAAGAAAGGGAAAGAGGAAGAATGATCAAGATTGTCTCATGAGAAAAAAAGATAAGAATTATCCCAGTCCTTCATCTCCTAACTCATGACTTGAGCTAACGCGATTGCAATTCTACTCTGTGTCACCTGGGGTTGGTCCAGTGGTGGTCCCCAATCATCTAAGTACAGGAAGCATTTCTCAGGTGAGCCCCTCTCTTTAATCCATGTGTCTCTAGAAATATTGAATTAACTGGATAGGATCCCATTGACTCATCACATTTTACAGAATTGAAAACACAATATCCCCAAGTTTTTTTGGAATATCACAATGCATGTGGTGAGACTACCTGTACTTACACAAGAAATTTAACCTGGCCTCTAGAACAAACATAAAAGCCAGCCTGGACCACAGGCCTGCAGCCTGGAAAAAATGAGGCCAGGGAGAAGGGAAATCATTCTATAGCAAAATGAGTTTTAGTTCAAACTTAAACCAAGACCTGCGTTGGCAACAACCTGTATCTCTTTCATCAGTTGTACAAAGTGTACGAGAAATGTGTTGTTGAATCTTTTCATTTGTGTCTGACTCCTTGTGACCCTATTTGGGGTTTTCTTGGCAAAGATACTGGAGTGGTTTGCCATTTCCTTCTTCAGTTCATTTTCCAGATGAAGAAACTAAGGCAAACAGGGTTGAGAGACTTGTCCAGGGTCTGAGGCTAGATTTGAACCCAGGAAGATGAGTCTTCCTGACTGCAGGCCCAGTGTTCTATGCACTATGGGGCCACCTAGCTGCCCTTATGTGAGAGATACAGCTATGGAAAAACTAGAAAGTCTCAGGCTTATAAGGAACATTAAACGCTAATGAGTGAGGAACACCCATACAACACTGGAAACAGATTTTTTTCATCTGAACTATTATTTTTATTTTTTGCTACTGCATGTTTTTCTTGTTTGAATTGGTAACTGTGGCAATAGGAGAAAAATTCAAGTTATCACACGGGGAGGAGAAGGCAGGAGAGTGTCAGTGAGATAAGAGAGGACATGCCCTTGCTCTTCAAATGAGAAAGAAGATTGACTACTTCTTTTATCACTTTCGATTAGGTCAAAACCATTTTTTGCCATGAGAATGCAAGCTTCCTGTGAGTAGGGATTGTTTCATTCCTTATCTTTGTATCCCCGATGCCTACAAACAGTAGGTATTTAATAATTACGTGTTGATTGACTGGCTGATTGATGATAATCAAGCAAAGGTTAGCAAACGTTAAAACTAAAAAGTGATGGAAAATATCATCATTGTATTTCAAGCCTGTATTTCTTTTTAACCACTGAAATATGTCTGATCATTAAACAAGATATGTTTTTAATCTTGGTGATGATTATGCAGAGTGTTGAATACAGTGAAACTTCTGCAGATTAATCTCTGACACAGAAGTTTGGCCAGGAAGAGTCTGATGCCTTTCAGAAATGTCCAGCTGCAAATATGAAAATGTTTACAAATTGACTTGGAGTAAGTTAAACTAGAAGGAAGGAAAAGATCCTTCGACATTAGTCACCAGGTGTATGACAACAAAATTAAATGAACAATTGAGGCAAATAGTTGAATAGTTCCAACCATCTTCTGTCCTCCCTCAAGAGCTTTCACACCCAATGAACACAATTAATGCTAGCCTTTTCTAATGTGGATTAACCAGATGAACTTTTTACTTTGCATACTCAACTCTCTTTTACTCACCTAGAAAAATGTCAGTGCTATTATCCCTGATACTTTCCCTGGGAGATCATAATTTTGATATCCCTGTTACACTCTCACCTACACTCCATTTCACCACTTGGACTTAAGATCATTGTTAATCAACACACTTATTAAACACTTACTACATGCCAGGGGCTAGGTGTCACAGTAGACAGAGTTCATATCTGGCCTCTGACACTTACTAGCTGTATGACCCTGGGCAAGTCACTTAACCCTGTTTGCCTCAGTTTCCTCATCCATAAAATGAGCTGGATAAGGAAATGGCAACTCTCTCTAGTATCCTTGCCAAGAAAACTCCACATGGGGTCACAAAGAATTGAACATGACTGAAATGACTTGACAACAAAAATTTGGGGGCAACAAGGTGCCACAATGAATAGAGAGAGCACTGGTTCTAGAGTCCAGAAGATCTGAGTTCAAATCCAGCCTCAGACACTTACTAGCTGTGCAAACCTGGGAAAGTCACTTAGCCCTATTTGCCTCATTTCCTCACCTATAAAGTGAGGTGGAGAAAGAAATGGCAAACCTCTCCAATATCTTTTTTAAAAAATTTTAAATTAACTTATTTTTAGTTTTCAAAGTTCACTTCCATAAGCTTTTGAGTTTTAAATATTCTCTACCTCCCTTCCCTGCCCTCTCCATAAGATAGCATGCAATCTGATATAGGCTGTACATATACATTCTTATTAAACATATTTTCACATTAGTGATGTGGTAAAGAAGAATTAGAACCAATAAAACAAAAAAATAGAGAGAAAGAGAGAGAGAGAGAGAGAGAGAGAGAGAACGAGTAAATAGTCTGCTTCAATCTGCATTCAAACTCCATAGTTCTTTCTCTGGATGTGGACAGCATTTTCCATCATGAGACTTTTGGAGTTGTCTTCGATCCTAGTATTGCTGAGAAGAGCTAAGTCTATCGACATTAGTCATTGAACAATGTGGCTGGTTACTGTGTACAATGTTCTCCTGGTTCTGCTCACTTCACTCAGTATCAGTCCATACAAGTCTTTCCAGGCTTTTCTGAAGTCAGCTTGTTCATCATTTCTTATAGCACAATAGTATTCCATTACATTCATATACCACAACTTGCTCAGCCATTTCCCAATAGATGGGCATCCCCTCAATTTCCAATCCTCTGCCACCAAAAGAGAGCTACTATAAATATTTTTGTACGTGTGG